GCAGATATTATCATAAACATTTTCTTTGTTTCTCCAAATTCTGATGCATTATCTTTGTTTCTCCAAATTCTGATGCATTATACAATATATTCAATACTGTAGCTATCACTATTATAGAAAGTGAAGTTTTGTTGGTCAAAATTACAGAAACACTTTTCGGAAGAATTTGGGTAGAATAGTGTGCTTGGCATGTCATTGTGGCATGCTTAATAATCATCAACTCATTAATTATTCGAATCATTTATGATTGGCGATTTATCAAGGCGGTCATTTTTGTAGTAAAAATGCTCAACGTTTTTATAACAATAATTCCAGAATTAGCTAATGTTCTTTATATGGCGTAAGTCGTCAACTTGACTAATTGGTTAATGTTGCGTAAGTTTTGAAATTAAATTGGTTGTAATTTTGAATTTTTGCATAATTTTGGTAAAGTTAGTATTACGATAAAAAAAATAGATATTTAAATACAGGTCTGACTATACTAATGATTATCTCATATGGAATTTAGTTATGAAATTCTATGATAATTATAAATCTTCATTGTGTTTAATGGGTTGATTGGTTTTATTAGTTGTAAATTGTTTGTGAAATGAGCATGAAGTTGTTATGTAATATTTATAAATCATTCTGTGATTATTTAGTTTTAATAATTAGAGAATTTTTTGTTAAAAATTTTTGTTTATGTTACTTGATGTTTACCTTGTTATATTAATTAAGTTTAACCAGTTATATAAAAAAATCAAACTAGTTATTATAAACGGTTATTCATATAAAAACTGGACTAGTTATTATAGTTTATGACATGTTAACAAACGTGATAAGCCAGCTATTTCAAACGAGTTTGGCTTAAACGATAACGGTTTGTGTCCCGAACTAAGTCAATATAGTTAATTTTAACTACTTAATATCCCTAGGTTTGATGATATTGAAAATAATAATGATAATTTGGAAGAATAATTTGAAGAAAATGTATCGCAAACGATTGAAAACATTGATAATTTTAATACTAATGACCAAAATTATATATAATGAAGCAGTAATTGAATCTTCTATTTAGACTTAAAATATGTAAAAATATATAAGAATATATATCCTTTTTGCCCATCTCTAGTAGTGACACGCTAGTAAAATATATAACACTGGTTATTGTTATTGCATAATGAAAGAATTGGAATTGAAAAGAATGGTTATAGAAACGGAAATGGAGTTGAAAGCATAAGACATTTATTATCAAAAATCAATAGTGGTGGGGCACACAATAATGCTGGTTATTGTTATGACGAAAGAATTGGAATTGAAGCATGCTTGTGGATATATGCACTGGTAATTGCTATAGGAATGGAATTGGAGTTGAAAAGCATAAGACATTTATTATCAAAATCAGTAGTAATAGACACGCTATCGAAATACATAATACTGGTTATTGTTACCGTATAATGAAGAATTGGGATTGAAAGGAATGCACCGGTAACTATTATAAAAATCGAATTGGAGCTAAAAAGCATAACATTAGATGCAAAGCTTGTTATTAAATGATATTCGGCATTACAGTATTCTGGGAATTTATTGGTTAGTAAGTATTAAATTTTTATATGTTGACAGCAGGTCAACAATTCGAAAAACTGGGCTAAGCGCAGAACCACCCCTGCACCTAGTTCCCGTGATCACAGGGTACACACGGGTACGTATGTACGTAAGTATAAACGAGGTTATGCAGACACAAGCCACCTGAAACCAGATATAAATACCCAGTATCAGCTGCGCAATAAACTCTGTTCGAAGCTGTGGCACATTGTATTAAGTAACATTTCTAAGGCACAAGTATGGAGAAGACAACACCTACAGGCAACACACCGGCGTCACACTCCAACATGGACTATTCCAATATCGATGAAACCACAAAGGCGTATATTGACAATGCATGCAAAATGTCATCCAATGCCATCATTAGTACTATTAAGGCATACATCGACCAATCAATGGCAGCACAAATGGATTTGATAAACAAGATGAACGAACGACTAGACCTCTTCAACCAACAGCAAAACTCAGACCTCCAAAGCAACCCAACACAGCAGGGCAGCGGCCCAAGTCACAATCATGACTTTGATCTGACCTCGCTTCAACAAGCAGACAATCAGAATAAAGACATATCAACACAGCAATGTAATTGCCCACTAACCCCCCTATTAAATAACTTGTTGATAAATTTCGGAACCACCAGCCCACAAAGTAAGACCCAACCAGCATTTTGCATGGCCCTCCACATCAATGATGCAATAAAAATCAAAACAACATCGCGAAAATATCCTTCCATCAAGTATGCAGTAGAACTTCCTCTAGTTTACGGATTTAGCAACAATCAAGCAGCCCAAATAGAAAGAATTCGTTTATAGTGGGTTCTCAACTGGACTGACGGTCAAAAAATAATTGAAAAAATACCCAATAAACCAAGCCTGCCGATGCGACTATGGAAAGCAATTGCACATGGCTCCTATATTGACCTACATGACTTTGCACACAAAAATCTGAGAACATACCTTAAAGATAATGAAAACGATCAATCCCTGGTAATGACAGAAGATGGCATTATCACTGTTCGCAAGCGCAACCGGTCCCAAAAGTTCAACAACATCTCAGAATAGCTCCTGGCATTTAAGTCGTACATGGAAGCAGTATTAATACTGTATGACATGAGAGAGCAAGAATTAAACGAATATCGTGATCATATAAATACCATTTGCATCAAGCAGGAGTTCTTCGCAGTCTTGAGATACGACGAAGATTGTTGACTGCACTTAACAACAAATCGGGACACTACCTTACTTGAATGAAATATCGAGACCAAAGGTGAAAACTTTGACATAACTACCACAAAAAGAACCGCATGAACAGCATCCCACCTAACACCAGAACAGATATCACATGGAATGATGGGAGGCAAATATGTCTGAATTGGAACCGTAAAGGATGCCCGAAAGAAAATGAGTGCTAATGCATTCACGTGTGCTTGGTCTGTAGAAAGATCAGACACCCAGAACGAAGATGTTTCTACAAATCCACAATAACCAGACAACCGGAGGCTCAAAACCAAAGAGCAATGAAAGATCAATGACCAGTCTAGCTGACATTGGTGCACACAAAAAAAAAAAAAAAAAAAAAAAAAACTAACAAACCTAACAAACAAACAAACACAAACGATTATGACATAGATATAACAGGCAGTGACGAAATAGAACTTAAACTGCAGGACGATAAAATGATAACAAAAGAAATAAGTCAACAACCACTGCAACAATAATGGACCAAAAAAAAAAAAAAAAAAAAAAAAGAAATAGTATATAAAACAAATAAATAACAATACCAACAACGATAACGACACTAACGAACAATAGAAGGGCAGCTGAAGACGACTTCCTAAATACACAACACTTGGTAGAACTACCAGAACAAGGCAGCAAGCATATATAAAAAAAAAAAAAAAAAAAAAAAACAAATAACTAATTAACTAACACACCATTCATGATGGCTCACCTACTAGTAACAAGGACCCAGCACACGGAAAGAACGTTTAGACATGCGGCACAATTCAAACTGTCTTGCAACATCACTACAGAAGAGGCTCCTGTGCTGCAATCCGTCAACGAAACTATTACAGCAGTGCTATTCCCTGACCCACCCTTAACAAACATCGAAATAGAACTATTATCACAACTCAATCCCCAACACTTTAACATACAAACACTAATAAACATTGCAGCATTTCAATATCTGACACAAGCCCACCCCAACCGTCTGTTTATTGAGTACCTGGTTAAAGGCATTAAACAGGATTTCAGATTTAACTTCAAAGGCCCTCGGGTTAAGCTTATTCAAGAAAACCTCCAATCTATAAACATTGCTCCAGAGGCATTTGATTTCTATATACAGAATGAACTGACCAACAACCACATTTGCGGCCCATTTTTCGAAAGCAACCCTCCTTGTGACCTGTTTTAAGTCAACCCTTGCGGACTAGTAGAAAAAAAAGATACAAACCCAGCAGTATACCGGGTTATATCCCACCTATCGTCCCCACCAGAAAACAGCATAAATGACAGGATTGACAAGTTGGATTTTGTGATCAGATATGAGACCGTCTCACACGCTATTAGATGGATCAACCATTTCGGTAAAGGCTGTACTTAGTCTAAAGTAGACATTAAAGAAGCTTACCGTATACTTCCAGTACACCTGGTAGACCAGTTACTGCAAGGCCTGCACAATGAGGACAGCATATACTTTGACAAAGTTCTTGCATTTGGGAACCATGCATCTGGAGGCATTTTTTGCTGTCTGGCTGACACCATCACATAGATAGCCACCTAGCAGGGCATTCTAGCGATAATTCACTACGTTGACAACTTTCTGATTATAACACCATCCAATGGGTCATGTGAATTAAAGCAATTTATTCGCATCCTAGACACTTTGAACATACCTTATAAAGACTCAAAACTAGAGAGCCCCGGAACAACCATCACATTTTTGGGTATAACTCTAAATACAGTTTCCATGACAGCATCCGTGCCATCTACGAAATGTGACAAATTGCTATCCCTACTCAACCAATAGGCTACAAGAAAATGATGTTTTCACAAAGAGCTTCAATCTCTGATAGGATCACTTATCTGGGTATGCCAAGTTCTCCCACAAGGCCACCCATTCATACAACGTCTGATTAGAGCTCAGAACAGTACCAACAACTCTAAACACCACATCCGATTGACAAAGCCAATGATTTCTGACATTCAATGGTGGATATCTTCACTAAGAACATAGCCGGGCATCCAACTTCTACAAGACAAAGAATGGCACCAACCCCACGCCTCGAAACTATTTACAGATGCTTCGAACATATGTGGGGGTGCAACATATCGCAGCTACTTCACAGCGTTCAACTAGTCTAAGGCGGCCAACAATATGGCAGCAAATATTCAAACGCGCGAACTAATGACTACACTGATTGCAATAAGAACCTTCGCTGCTATGTGGGGGAGAATGAAACTTGTTGTCTGGACCGATAACCTAGACAACGTTGAAGCTTATTATTCGGGATATTCTAAAAACTGTGATATCAATGTTATAATCTCTGAGATGTACAAAATTCAAATGCATGGAAGTTTCGCTATAAAACTCGAACACATACCTGGTGTTGAAAATACCAACACAGATTTACTATCCCACAACAGACACTGAGAATTCATTGCAAATAACCCATTAGCCCGATACCTACAACCAGACATCCTCGATGAATTCTCTAATCTAATCTCACCTATCCCATCCCTCAAACAATAGCTAAAGACGGTGCAACGATGAACGTGACATATTCCCAAACTGATCTCTCGACAAATCACAGAAAGTTTGGCAACCAACTATCACTTGATAAAAAAGCAGCAGCAATCCTCAACATTCCAACACCCACCAACAGATCATATGAAGCAATTATTAAATGATACGAAACTCTAGCCTCTAACAATAAGTGGCTCAACCAAGACGTGACCATATGGCCGATATCCAAAGGATCGCTTGTTAATTACATTACATTGTTGCACAAAACGGTTTCACCACCCACAATTCTAACTTACCTCTCTGCACTCAAATACCATCACACAAGGAACTATTACAACTGAACACCCATTTGCAACGACCCTTTAATAACTCAGCTCATAAAGTCGATCGATGCAGCACATACACATATTCCAGTAAAGCAGAAGTTACATATCTCCCGACAACAGCTATATAATATTAAATCACAACTCAACTTAAACAACCCCACAGACTTGTTATTTTGGGCGGTCATACTTTCAGCATTTTACAGTCTTGCCCAACTTGGCGAATTATTACCAAACAACAAATCAGACGCGCACAAAGTCCTCACAACTAAGGTGTTAAAGTTTGATAAAGTTGGCAACAGCACCTTTGCAACAATTCAACTAGCAAAAACAAAGAACCACAAAACAGCTAATCGAGTATCACTAATCATCAACCCGACCAACGATCCTATTTGCCTGATCTGTGCTCTTAAAGCATATGCATCTTTGCGGACTATGCCAAAGATAACATGATGTTATTTGCAAAACTGGACGGAACATAGGTCACAAAACAATGGTTCATAGCCAAACTAAAACAAATGATTCCTCATGAAGATGTAGCTGGTCACAGTTTCCAAGCAGGAGGAACCACTGAATTAGTTATGAGGGGTGTTCAGTTAGTCCTCATCCAGAAAATAGGCAGATGGAACTCTGAATCATTCTACAGATACATTCGGAGTCACCAGCCACAATCGCAGCCATCCTAACCAGCGCCTATATCAACTAAGCTCTCTCAAAACCCCTTGGAATGACTCCCGGCCTAGTTGATAATGGCTCCAACACATCCTCCAGCAAACATCAGTATATACACACAACACACAAAAAAAAAAAAAAAAAAAAAAAAAAAAAGCGGAAAACACAATAATACAGATTATCAATTAATAACAGTCACAAGGATACATCAAAAATAATAATAATAATAATGATAAGAAGAGAGAAAAAACAACAAGTAAGACAATGACGATCACCTAAAATTACAAAAATTAACAAGATATAGAAGAAAGATATTCAAAAAAGACCTAAATAAAGCTAGAGCATAGACAAAATTAACACAAAACGCAAGAGAACAACTGACACAACAACTAATATAACAACAAAACAACAGCAGTACAAAAAACACAACAAGAAAACTAAAAACTTTAACAACCAGTCCTCAACGGACTTGGTGGAAGAAAACAGCTTGCAAAAGCAAAATAATACATATATACCAGTGTATGCACCTAAGTTACCAATAGACAACAGTATGGACAACCAAGAAATACAGAATACAAACAACAACCAACAAACTTCTGCCCAAAGTAAA